TTGTTAGTGGTAGTTCTTGGTTCCCACTGGAAATGGATTCTGTCCCTCGAAGTCTCTATTATCTGTTTAACAAGTGTGCCTAAATATATCTGCCTTAGTAACAACATCTCTCTAGGTGGCCATGGATAGCCTCTGGGAAGTTGTATTGCCTGGACACCACCAGGCCAGCAGAGCTATTAAGAGAGAGCCATCGATGGGGCTTTCTAGATGGAGCTGTCTAGATGGGGCCGATAGGCCTTCAGAGGGTCACACACTTGGACCAGCCTCCACTTCAGGGCTCCTGGTCCCTGCTGGCCTGTCTCCCGCACTTTCTTCCCTTGAACCCTTCCTATCAGCTTTACTGTCAGCTTCTCGCCTCAGGCACAACAGCTCCTGAGGGAGGCTGCCTAAATGCACTGATGACCTGAAAACCCAGCATGGAAACACATGCCACTGTTTTAAGAGCCCGGAACATGGGTTGTACGCTGGAATCTTGTGGGGCTTAAAAACCAACCAAAAGCACCCCCAATCACCAGTCCCTCCCTCCTACTCCCATCTGCTGGGTTCTGAAATTTTTTAAGGCTTCTCCGTGATTCTAATGTGCTGCCTGCATTAGAAAATCGATTCCTTGCACCTGTGCACTCATCAAACATCTAAATTATACAAGGGGGTCAGGGGTGCAATTGCTTTCTGCAAAAGAAAACTCGAAGGAAAAATGCCTTCTCTGGATCTGAAAGGAAACCTCTTCAGACACTTGCTGGTGAAAAAAACATTTCACCCTTCACAAACACAATGGGAAATTAGAAGAAGGCCGTGATGAAACAAAAGGATGCCTATGATTGAGGCAGAAAAGGTAAAGGAACTCTTATTAAAGTACTATGTATTCAGCTGAATAATATCACTTCCCACTGGCAAAAATGTAAGTCTACCCTTTTTGAAGGCAAATGAGAATTTGCTTTTTCCTACAGCTAATTTCCCCTTGGCAGAAAAACCACTGTGGTTGGCAGGAGCCCGGGTTTTGGTGAGCAGCATAGGTAAAGAGGTGGGAATGACCCTCTGAAGGGCCAACTAAAGACTTAACACTTGAAGATGTGTCAGGGTGCCGACCTGCCCTTTGCTCCTCTTTGAGCCCTGGGTTCCTTTCATGGCAAGCTCAAGAATGCAGCCTGACTGAGGCATGGGGCCTATCCTAGTGTGGCTTTTCAACAGAAGCAGGACACCCCAGCAGGAGGGTCACTCTGGAACTCGGATGACACCACGGGGAGATCCAGAGCCACACCTGCGCTTCCCAGATGTCCCAGCTCTGCACGGAGAGTGCTGGCGGGTAGCTAGTGGACAGATGGATGAGTGAATTTCCCCACAAGAGCTACTTTTTTCAGTCCCTCCATATTTCCTGGAAAACCTTTGAAAGTCTAAGAAGCACTTGTAGGGCTAGTTCATTTTTTTTCTTTTTGTCAGAGTTAGAACCAGTAAGAAGGAGTGATGAAGGGAGACACCAGTCCCTGACATCCACCCCAAAAAAGATCTAGTCTAGGAGGGGTATTTGGTCTTACACTTCACACAAAATTCTCTGAGTTGTATTTTTCCAGTGTACTTGGCCCCATAAAACATATATTAATCTTTCATTTCTAAAAGGCCCATTCTGCTCTTTCCTTATATGTGCAAGTTCTTACTAAAACATACTGTCCTACACAATTAAAATCAATTACTGAGCTATGGATTGCAAAAGCTAGGCCGGGTATATTTTTATTTGTTAAATACCTTCCAGGGCAGCAAATATTAGAAACCAGAGGCCCAATGCACGAATTCGTGCACCAGTGGGGTCCCTCTGCCTGGCTGCAGGATCAGGCCAAAATGGCTCTCTGATATCCCTTGAAGGGTCCTGGATTGCAAGAGGGCACAGGCCAGGCTGAGGGACCCCACTGGTGCACAATCGGGGATGGAGAGGGACATGTGAGGTTAGCCAGCAAGGGAGGGACAGTGGGAGGGCTTCAGGGTGTATCCGGCCTGTCTTGCTCAGTCCTAGCAGCAAGCTAACCTACCGACCGATGGTGGTAAGTGCACATCATAGCAAGCGGCTGAGCTAGCCTTAGCATATAATTAGCATATTACACTTTGATTGGTTGAACAGATGACCAGACACTTAACATATTAGGTTTTAATTACCGTATTTTCCAGAATATAAAACGACTTTTGAAACGAAAAAAAGCCTGCTCAGATTGGCCAGAGTCAGAGAGGCGGTCTATTAAAAAAAGAACTTGTGTTGCCTCGGAATTGGGGGGGTGGGGGGGGTAGTCTTATACAGTGAATGTAGGCCTAAACCTATGTTTTAACTGTAAAATTAGGGGGGTTCGTCTTATACGCCAGAAAATACGGTCTATAGGATGTTTTCGTTATGTTAAACCCAGAGCTGAAATTTGCCTTTTTCTAAGTGCCACCCAGTGGTTCCAGCCTGGCCTTGCATGGCGATACAAAACAGATGTATTCCCTCTTCTCAATGACCATTATCTAAGATGTTAATTTAGCTCTCACACCTAGCCCCCTTGGCCACCTCTTCCCCAAAGCCTTCAACCATTCCTGAATTTCCAGAGTTCTCAGCTCTTTTCCAACTGATTCTGCTCTTCTGAATGTGCTCATTTGTCAATATCCCTCTTTCCATCTTAAAAAATAACTCACATAAGTGGCTACAGCAATTAAGATTCTAAACCATTCTTTTTCTTGTAAAGTTAGCACAGTGTACTAGATACATTAATTCTTACTACTTGACTTAGATATTTACATTTAGAATAAAGAGCCTCTTTCTCTCTAAGTCTCCATCCTCTGCAGAAATCCAGCAGGCCTCTGAGTGAGGCGCCCTCTGAGAGTGCCATCCTAAATTTCAGCCTGTGATCTCATTCCAGTGCTGGGTCTCCCAGACCACATCATTGGGACTTAGGGAAACTCATTCTGGAGTTAGCCAATCACAGGAAGAAAAGCAGGACGTGGACAGTATCTTTCCTTATTTCCTTGTATCTTTCCTTATTTTCATGTATAGATATTCCCCCACTCCACTCTCTTCCAATTGGTAGTTCCATTATGTTCCAGAAGTAAATTAGAAAACAGTGAATCCTAAACTTCTTTGAAAATATCTTTTTAAAAAGCATCTCTTGATTTTGGTACCAATTATAAACATTACAAATGATAATCGTATCAGAAGCCAACCAGTCTGAGGTTTTAGTCACTGGTTCTCTAATATTAGGTACGAGATCAGTACAGAGCACCACCCTGTGGTAAGGTGGGGGGACTGCAGTGTTCCACAGTAGAGCCACAGGTGGGAAATAAGAACAGCCCAGCCCTAGACTTCTCGTGTGTAAAAGTCAGACACAGAAAAGCTATGCTCTGACAGCGATGGCTCCCCGAGTTGCTAATTGTGACAGCTGATGCCCTTCCTTGGGAAACACACTCCTGACATCGACCTAGTGTGCCATCGCTGATGCCGGCCATGCTCCTGTACAGTGTGCAAAGGGGCTGCGAAGGTGCGTGCATGGGTGCCTCATCTGAACCTCAGACGCCCGTCCTTTTATTCTACTGCTCCCAAGGCTGGCACAGGAGCCAATATAATACACACAGGATTCAACTCCATGGATTCCTTGTTTGGGAAGCAAATTTTATCTAATGTATATGTTTATCCTACACACAAGAAAAAATGTCTCTCCCCATCTCTCAACTCCCAGACTTTAAGCCCATACCACTAATATCTCCAACAGTTTATAGGTTAGTCAAAGAAATATACTTTTAAACTTCTATTTGTGTCGTGTGTAAGTTATGTATTAGAAGTAGATATACTTTTAATTTCAGTAAATCAATAATGAAAGAAGTAACTTTTCAGAGTAGTGCTTTATATAAAGGAAAAAACTTCCCCCCACCCCATTTTTTTCACTGCCAACCACATGTTTAACTAAATTGAACCATTTTTTTTTCTTTGCAAGTTAGAGAATTAGACCCTAGAGAATTTTTATAAATCGGTTAGTACTAACTGTTCTTTTCTTCTGTCTGATTTTTTTAAAAGTATTTTTTATTGATTTCAGAGAGGAAGGTAAAGGGATCGAGAAATAGAAACATCAATGATGAAACACAATCATTGATTGGCTGCCTCCTGCATGCCCCCTACTGGGGATTGAGCCCGAAATCTGGGCATGTGCCTTGACTGAATCAAACCTGGGTCCTTTCACTCCACAGGCCGACACTTTATCCACTGAGCCAAACCAGTTAGGGCTTCTGTCTGATTTTTTTTTTTTTTTAAGTGAGCAAGAAAAAATTACAATAATATGTTACTGGCTTCACAACAGTATAAACTTTCTTCTATTGAGAAATCACCACAAGAGATGCAGATTACAGTAACACAGGTTAAAAGAATTGTTTTCCTCTTAGAGAATATAAATATTCAACTTATCTGTTTTTTCATTTAAAAAAATAGAATAATAAACTATGCCCAGCATATAGTAAACCTACAACTTGGTTTCACACATAGGCACTTAAGAAGAGAAAGGATGGTGGAAAAGTGAAAATATGAAGAAGAAACAGGAAGAGGAGCAGAGAATGAGGGGAGAAGGCAGAAGAAAGAGAAAGGAACAGACAGGAAAAGGGAATGAGAGACACACCAGAAATGAAGAAAGGGCGAGTAGTAGCCAGGGGAAACCAGTAGGGGGCAGTATAGAGACCCAAGCTGAATTAAACTTTCCTTGTCAAACTTCCCTTTGCTCCCTGGGTGTTGCTGTCCTCTGAGAATGGGTGAGCTATGCCCTGCACCTCATGGCTTATTAACTGTCACTCTCTGTCCTAGAGAAGACCCTCTTTTAGAGGGATAGTCAGCAGGGGTGGGGAGAAATATAAAGAAATTCCCCTCGGAGCCAAGACGGAAGTGATCTTAGCGAGTCCTCTGTGAGCCCCAGAACACTGGGCTGAGGTCAAATCTGGCTGCAGGACTGAAATATTCCCACCACAGGAAGCAACCCGGCCCATGACCGCTGACAAGCGCTTACCTCCTCAACCATCTGCTTGACCTTCTTCTGCTGGCAATGCACCATGTCATCCAGATGTCGGATCCGTTCCCGGAGGCTGGCTGACGCCTCCTCCAGCTGCTGATACCTAACACAACAGAGGAGAGAGCCACTGAGTCCCACGCCACAGGTGTGCATGGCAGCGAGAGTCCCCGCTGGGAAGGAATGATGTCAAAAATAAGGAGGGAATGCCAAGATGTGTGTCCTAGGTGATTACCTCAAGCAACCACCTCATGGTGGAAGGAACAGAGGGCTCTTTTCATGCTCCTCTTTGTAAGTTTCCTCTGTATAAGGACAGTTACCCTTTCCAGGCACCGAGAGAGAATCTTCTGGTATCACGTGCAGGTATGAGAGGCTGTCTGTTTTAGAGTTAATACGATATCGGAACAGCCAGTAAATTACGTTGATTAAGGGAACAGAGAAGGAGAAGCATCTAGCAACACAACAGAATATCTGAACTGAGAGCTCCCAACAGAGTGGGAAGTCTAGAATTATCCTTGTTCTACATGAGATTACTTTGGGAGAATGGGAAACCTGTTGACAGACCTTCTCTTCAGCAAAACCAACTGAACTACATCGTACAACATTTCACACTTTGGTTGGAAAATAGCAAAAACTATTCTCTAACTTTTCTGGCTTCAAAGAAACCAAAGGACCCAGCAGATGGAGGGCCTTGGACCGGACCACTGGTGCAGGGTCTGGTGGTGAGCTCACCGCTCCCCACCTCTGCCAGGTCCCTCCTTGGTGCTGCATTAAAGACCAGGCAAGACCCCTAAGACTCTGCAAACTCCGAAGTTGCATAAGAGGAAAGAAAACAAGCATTTTTTTTTTTCAGCAAATGCTATGTGGCAGGCAGTACGTCCAACATGTCCCTCATGACAATCACCCAGTGAGATGGACACTGTCATAATCATCACAACCCCCTCCTCCTTTAAGAAAGAATTCCCTTTTCCAAGATCGGCAAAGATCTCGGGAGGATAAGGAACTTGCCCCAAATGCTCAAGCCATCCCAACCTTGTTCCCCTTCGCTAAGGGGTCACACGTGGTCTCTTTTGGTTCCTGGAAGAGACCACACACTACTTCTGCTTTTTCCATGCAGAGCTCCGTACGCTCAGAGACAGGGGGCAAGGCAAGATCTGACCGAGCGATGTTTGGAAACACAGAGAGACATTTTAAAGCTAGCTTCCATGGCAATGATATTAATCATAGTTGATGCTTTCTCATCAACAAGATGCATCCTGTGAAGTTCAAGGTTGTGGAAAACACTGGCAGACTGAACTTTTGCACTGTGACAGTGCAACATTGAAATGTGGGCCATGGCTGTAGGATGTGGCTGTTGGGCTCCTAAAGAAACCAGCTCCATAAGGGAAGCTCTCAAGCACTGTTTTCTGCAGGAAAAGATGACCAGGAGAGTGGAAAGTGAAAGGACCGAGTGAGCCCACATACACACACACACACACACACACACACACACACACACACACAGGACGTCCACCATCAAAACCCATCACAAGATCAAGGGGGTTGCATCCTACCTTTCGTGGTCAGAGTCGGTTATTTCCCCAGACATTTCTGTTTCATGCTCTAGGAGTTGTAGTTGCAGCTGATGGCGTTCCTAAAGCAGACAGACACCGGCATGTTCACCAATGGATTGAACCAAGTGGGACAGAGAACGTGTACCTCTGTTGACGCCAGCACTGGTGAGCTCATGTCTATATGAAACACACTGTGAGTTTTACACGCCCACTCACCAGAGTCCTAACGAAGCTCAGAAATGCCAACACTTGCTGGTGTGTGTTTCTAGGCGTATTTATGAGTTAGAGACAAGCACCTTGGATAAAGCCATTCACAGTATTCTGCCAGCCTAGGCTCAGATGCCTTGTGAAATTTGTAGTACTAAATAATGATCAGTGGTCTGTGATACTGCAAAATTCTTGATTATTTTTTTGCAGCAGCTAAAGAGGCTCTATAAATGCCTATAGACTCGCCTGGGGGGGTTGTTTACATAAGTATGTTCACTTGTAAAAATATACTGTGGTCATAAGAACAACAGTTCCAGCAATGTCCACAGCCTGACCTCTGAAACCTGTGAATATGTCACGTTACTTGAGAAAAGGAACTTTGCGGGTGTGATTAAAAGTTAATGGAAAATTACCCCGGATTATCCATTTGGGCCCTTCCTGGAGGGAGGGTCGGAGTCAGAGAGAAACAGGGATTGGAAAATGCTGCCTGCTTTTCCAAAGCTGGGGGAGGGCCATGAGCCCAGGAATATGAGTTGTCTGAGAAGTTAGAAAAGGCCAGAAATGGTTCTCGTCTGGAGCTTCACATCTCAGAGATGCCCCCCACCCACCCCCAACAAACTCTTACTTGTTAGATAGATCCCAAATCTCTTTCCTGCACAATTATTAAAAGCAAGTCTTTGAAAATGTAAGTCCCACAACTTCTGGAGCTGTAAGCCCTGATATACCGGGAGGCAGCCGCCCTGGCAGGAAGAGAGTATTACCATCGATGTATTTGGTCAAAAAGGAAGACCACCTTCCAGTGGGGTTTTGTTTTTATTTCTCAGTCTGTACAGGGAATGCATGTTCTTGCTGCCCAGCGTGGGCAGGATGACCCCTGCCCCCACATGGTAGGTGGTGGGCCGGAAGTTTACATCAGGCCTGAAATAACAATGATGAACCTTTCACAAGTGAGCTCCCCTTTCAACCACCCCAAAGATGCTGTCATAAGTAGGGCAAGGCCTAATGTGGAGCATACTTTAAAAGTTCGATAATTTCCTAAATTGAGGTTGAACAAATCTTATGTGCACACTGCCCAATCATTTCTTACATTTGTTTACACCTGATTACCTGGGGAAACCCCCACCCAGATCAAGGCACGGAGCATTATCTGTTCTGCAGGGGGTCCCTGGGAGAACACACTCTTTAAAAGAATGTTACCGACCAAAGAAAAGTGTTCTGAATACCATACTCAAAAAGAGAAACAATGCATATAAGCCTAACCAGTGGTCACGGACAACAGGGGGGTGTGGGGCATATGTGGGGAGGGGTTTGGGATGGGAATGGGGGGATGAGGACTATTATGTGATACCTTAATCAGTAAAGAAATTAAAATAAATAAATAATAAATAAATAAATAAATAAATAAATAAATAAATAAATAAGAGAGGGAGAGAGAGAGAGAGACAGAGAGAGAGAGAGAGGGAGAGCACGAGAGAGAAACGACAAAATGAGGTATATAGCAGAGAAGCCATTCAAAAACACATGGTCTGTCCTTGAGCAGGACACCCACACCACCACAGGGGTGTGACACAGATTTGGCCCAATTCCTGCTCTCAAAGATTTACCCCTGAAGGGGAAAGAGCAGTCAATCGGTATTCCTAATCTTAGCTAATAAAGCAAACATTTCTCTAGCCTAAATGGAAAAGAAGATAATACATTTTCAACCACTAAAGAAAAAGCCCTCATACCAGTTCCACATGGAAATCGGGGGCGGGGGGGGGGGGGTAGGGGGGGTAAGGAGGGCGCAGAGGAAAGCGGGAAACTTTCAGAATCTCAAGAGTTCAAAGAAGATAAGATTAAAAAAAAATTAAAAAAAAGACAGATCCAGCTTTAAAAAAGGCTGACTTGAGCAGACATTTAAGCAAATCTTAACAAAATAAAAGCGCCAGCCCCCAATTTCTGAGGCCCTGCTGGGTATATGCCAGGCACTGTGCTTAGTACTTTGCATAGATTTTTCTCATTCCTCCTCCCAAAGCCCAAGGAAAGAATCATGATTATCAGCATTTTACAGAAGAGGAGACAGAGTTTGGAAAAGTCAATTCACTGCCCACAACTAGAAAGCGAGGCAAGACTCAAACCCTAGGTCGGTCTCACTGCAAAACCTATATTCTGAACCACCACGGGGACCTTGCTTCTCTGTCCTGAGAGACAACGTCACCTGGAGGGAGCGTGTGTGAGAATGGCATCTTCTGCTCTTGTAGGAGAGCAGGAGCACGGAGCCCGCTCTCCCTCCCGAGTCCTGGAATACGCCTCTGCTGCCTGATCCTCACTGTCACCACTTCCCAACACAATGGTCTTAACCACCTCACATCCTCACTTCAATAACAGACAGGGTTCTGCTTTCCAGGGGAGAGGTGAAATGGTCATTGACTCTTCAGTTGTTCAAGTCCCTCCCAAATAACGATATTCCCTCGGAGGGGAACCCCAGCAAGGCCAAAGGTCCATGGCACGGAATCCAATGCCCTTCCCACTCAGGCTCAACCTCACCTTGTCAGGGGAGAGGCGTAAGCTGCAGATATGGGGGTAAGGAGGCCTCTTCTCAGAATCACTCAGAAGCCCAGATGTTGGCCTTGCTCACGTCCTCATCCCCCCTCCCACCGTCATCAGAATCTCAGTACCCAGCATGAGTGCTGGGTGCTGATAAGTCACGGTCCCGGCAGGTCACCACTGTACTGCAAACTCGCATGTGGCTAGAGAGCCATTTTCCAGTACCAGTCCCAGGCTCTTCCCTCAGCCACTCCCCTTCCCCCAGAAGACAGCTGTCACCTGCTCAAGGTCACAGGCCTCTCTTTTTTCCCCTCCCTTCCTTCCTTTTCTCTTTCTTCTCTCCTCTCTTTCTTCCCTTTTCTCCACTTCTGCTTAACCTCTGGCCTCCTCCCTTTCTCTAGGCTTCATGATCTCAGCTGAGCACCTGCCTTCCCCACACAGCCTCTGTCCCCACCCACAAAGAAACGTGCTGCCCCCCAACTCTGAAATGTGGGGTGTCAGAGAAAAGCCACCTTCAGACACACTCCAAGAAGCAACAGGCTTGCAGTGCAGATGTAACATCTAAATAGGATTTGACCATTCAGCTAAGTTCATGCTTGAGGCCCCAGCAAAGCAGAGCCACTAAAATATTCATTTTTGTAAATAATTTTAAATGTATCGCTTTTTAAAGCATCAAAATGGTCACCAAGGGAAAATTAGAACTTCTGTGGACTTCCCACACTTTGACAGTGTGGTCTTTTCTTTGAACTCACACATTGCAGGGCCGAGAGGTATCAGTGCTGCAGGCGTCTGAGGCCGCCACACAGGCCTTCAGACTGGAGCTGTGTCTGTTACCTTTTCCATGCGCTCAATCAGCCTGTCCAGCTCCCCAATCCTCTGGTCTTTCTCCTCCAGGCTGATCTCTGCCGCCTGCATCTTCTTATTGGCTTCTTCAATCGTTTTCAGAAAACTATTGGTTTCTTCCTGCAAAAGCAACACACATCCTCAGCAGAGCCATGGAGACCCCAGACGACCAACCTGGTGTTGCTAATGATGCTTCTGATGCATGACATTAGGGCTTAGGTGCATCACGTGGCTTTTTCACAAGCTGCCACTCCCTTCTTCTCCCCCCCCCCCACTTTTTTTCTTTCCCTTGAGTTCTTATGTATAAAACGATCCTGCGAATGTTATTTAGCCCTTGACTAGACACTCAGAATGTCAGTGTATGTGCCAACAACATGAAGGGGATAAAAGCCAGAGCTGGAGTTGAATGCAGAATACCCACATCTTTCTCCCTTATTGCAAAGCACCAGCTCAGTCCATCTATCGACACATTTAAGACGCCCGTAAGGACATAGGTAAGGGCAGACCTGGAGTCCCCGTCTTCAAGAAACATATGCTATCCTAGGGAAGCCAAGGTGTGAGGCATACAGTCCCTCTCCGATAACGGGTACAGAGAAGGTCACGCAAAGGGTGGGGAGAGCATGCGGGCTTCCCATAGGCAGGATACTGCCAGCGGTAGGAATGGCAGGCCCTCACTTTCTCGGCTCCTAGGGAATGTGGTTGGATCGGGGACAGGAAGGAGGAAATTCCAGGTAGAGAGGAGCAAGTGGGGAGAGAACGGACACAGCTGCAGGCCCAGGACCTGCCTGGATGCTGGCGAAAGAATGGTCCGATTGGCTAGAGAAAGGGATGGATTTAGAGCCAGGGGTTGGGGGCTATTCTGAGAAGAGAGAGAGATGAGTCAAGGAAAGGAGGGAGAAGGGAAGGGAGTGGATGAGCAAACAATAAATTCCTTGCGCCCTCACCCAGTAGTGAGTCCACCAACTCACCTCCAGCCAGAAAGCCTACCGCAGGGTGGGGCACAAGTAGGAATACAGTTGTGAGCACGCCAAACACAGAGTTTATTCTTGTATTATGATTTATTAATTCTTGTATTGTTTTCCACATGAACAACTGTGACCTATTTTTGCCCACCCCCGTGTTGAACCTCAGCAACAATAATGAACCCAAAACCCTGCCCTGCTCTGTCCTCCGCACCAGGACGTACCAGGAGCGCCTGCTTCTCGGCGCTGTGCCGCCGCTGCTCCTCCTGCAGCTTGTCCTCGTACTGGCTGTACAGCTTCCTGGTCATCTCTCTCAGCACCTCGGCGTTGGCTTCGTGGGAGGACTCCACCTACAGAGACACCCGTGTCAGAGAGGCAGCTTTGCCGGTGCCAGGGCATCAGCCCTTTTCACTCTGTACGTGTCATAGGTGGACACATAGTGGAAGGGACCCAACGGGCCGGGCTCGGCAGAAGACAGAGGCAGCAGGAACTCACAGGCAAAGGCATCGAAGGCAGGAGGAAGTGGGTGAACAGGTGCACAGAAACTAAAACGTGGCACCTTATGCCAACATACTTGATCTTATCAGGAAAAGTGTTCCACGTGAGTGAATTTTTCGAGAGGTAGAAACTAATCTAAGTATTAAACCGGCCTCCCAAAATGTAGGCATTTTTAAATTGAATGCTCTATAAAATGTGTCTATGCTCCACTGTGTTATTAACCCCATTCTTCAATGATTTTTTCCTGCCTGATGTTCTTTTGATCCTGAAATTTGACTATTTTTTTATTCTATTAGTTTTAACCTTTAAAAGATGGCATTTAAATTCCCGTAGTGGGGTCTCCTGGCCAGAGCTTTTTTGGGCATTTAAATTCAGCTCTGCAGGCATTTACTTTTTTTTGCCTCTATCTTATCTATTTTTTGAGTTATTTATAAAAAGTAAAAACATTTATAAAGAAAATGTATTGTTTATTATTAAAGTTATCTTTTAACCACTCCTTGCCGGGAACTAAAGTTCCCTTTTGTCCAATAAAGGTTTTAATAAACCTTTTCCTCTGCATATTATAATAGGCCCATGCCCTAATAGAACCCAGAAAGATATGTTCTTTTTAAGCCTTAAATATTCTGTGTGGGCTGAGAAGTAAGATCACTACATTATTAGAATTGGGTCAGAGTAGAATCTATATTATAAAAACCCAGTGGTCATAACGCCGTTAACGACCAAAGACCAGTCACCAGGAGGCTGCATGTGCAGCGATGCATGCGTGGGTGGGCGGGGACTTGGACTGGGACTTGGGTGGGACTCTGGGGAGTCCCGCAGCCCAGCGGGGTTTGGGGGTCCCAGGTCTCTCGCGATTTCCCTCGGGTCTGAGTCTTGCACAATTTTGCGCACTAGGTCACTAATAAACTATAAAGTTAAAAAATTAAAAGGTTATCTGGAAGAGGAAGGGAAAAGTAGGAATGCAAAGGGGATATTACAGATATAAATATTCTATTTCTGAATATACTTTGTTTTATTTGTAGTATTGACTTGGAAGCAAAATGATAACTTCCCTTTTATAAAATATTAAGCTTCAAAAAATTATCTATCAAGGACCACTTGATCAGAAAAAGGTAGACTTTTCAACAGATGGTGCAGGCACAACCAGGTGGACACAAGCAAAAGAATAAAACAGGACCCCTCACACACCACGTAAAAAATTAACTCAACATGGATCCAAGGCTTATATGCAAAGACTAAAACTGTAAAACTCTTAGGAGAAAACATGAGATAATTCTTTGAGACCTTTAAACAAACTTCTGTGCTTCAAAGAATACCATCAATAAAGTAATGGGAGAAAATATTTGGGAGTGAGAAAACATTGGCAAATCACATATCTAGTAACTTGTATCCTGAACATATAAAGAATAATTATAATTCAATAATAACATATAAACAACCCAATTTAAAAATGGGCAAAGGGTCTGACAGGCACTCCAAAGAAGAGACACAGATGACTATGACCTTGAGCACAAGAACTGATGACCAACATCACTCGTCGGCAAAGACATGCACACCTGCAGTGAGGAACCACTGCCTACTCACTAGCATGGCCATCAGCAGTGAGGTAACAGTGACAGGCGCTGGTGAGAATGTGGAGAAACTGGAATCCTCTTACCCTGCTGCTGGGAAGGTAAAATGGTGCGGGCATATCTCTAGATTACCTTTCATATTGTTTGACTTCCCTCCCCCCTGTATGTTCATATGTTACTTTACAAAAACTATACTATGTCAGAAAAGCAGACATAGTAGTTGCAGAAGAGTAGTTGTCCACATGGAGTTGAAGCTGCCCCATTGGTTGCACTAACCAATTAATCTCTAGGAAAGACTTAAGCTCCTATGAGAAATTTGGACTCATCCTTTCCATACCTTTGTGCTTCCCCAAATGTTGCATTTGGAAACATTCCCACCCGGTTTGGGCAACACTAAGTTGGGGGCTCCTGAGGGTTCGGGCAGACCCAGCTTAGGAGATGAGAAAAGTCAGTGGAGTAGTGGGTAGGCAAAGCTTTGGGTGGAGGTGGCCCTGCACTGGCCTGTGAACTTCATGCCATTGACCTTATGCTGTCTGCAGCCCTTCCTTCCAGCTACCGCTTCTTCCAAAATGCTGAGTCTGCTGGATATGTAACCCTGGAAAAGTAAGGTATACTTGAATCTCAATAGGTCACATGATGTTTACTGCAAAGATGCCCTCTAATTCCCCCTTCTTGTCACGAGGCACGCTTTGGTACCCAGAAGCCACAAAATGAAAAATCCTGAACAGGGTTGTCATCAGCTGAGAGAGACCCAACCCTGCACCCCATTTCCACTGCAAACACGGACTTCGGAAAGGTCACCCGAGTCCTGTTTCCTCTGCATCCAGGTCATTTGGAACACTCTGACTCCTAAAACTTTATTTATTTGGGGGTCAAGTAAAGCATTAGTCTCTGAAACAGGCAACTATAGGCTGGATTCAGGGGCTTGGTCTCCTTGGAAAAAGCCAGATTGCCAACTGCCTAACGATGTACCCAGGCGCCAGACGCCAGATGCCAGCCCTGGAATAAACAGGAACGTCCAGGCAGACACACAGTAAACACTCACTACGGGGTGGGCCAAAAGTAGGTTTCACATGTGGGAGGGCTTTAGGAGCCCAGCAGTGGACTAAGCACAGCCTGATGAGCTAGAGGGACATTGCCCAGAGTCCTGGTCACCCACTGGTTATCTTTCTATTATATGTGCCCTTCAATTCTTCATTGTCAAACCACACAGAAAAGATAGGACCTCAGAGAAAATCTGATCACTGAAGCTGCTGAAATCGAAGATCAGTACAAGTGCCTCTTAGTACTGACAGCAGTGCCAGGGTGATTGTCTCAGCAGCCCTTGAGGCCACAGGGCCCACGGCAGGAGCGCCCAGTGGGGGCTTTATGGGGCACCCCGATCTGTACTGATATTTGTGATCCAGAAACCTCCTAGAGCCTTTAAGCCAAGCCCTCTGGGGTTGACCACAAGAGGGTGGGGAAAATTAACAAAGAGAACAGAGAAAAGGAAATGGAAGCATTGGAGATGGGAGGAGAGAGGAGAAGTACAGAAGAGAAAAGTTAGTAGGAAAATCTATGCCCCGTCCTACTTTACCTTCATTTTCAGCAGCTGGTTTTCAACTTGTGCGGCCTCTAACTGCCTCTGCTTTTCCCGCAGCTTGTCCATGGACACTTCATATGTCTGCTGCAGGTTTCTGATTTGATCCTTAATGTTGCTATTTTCCAAAGTGACATCCACAAGCGTTTTCTAATGGGATGAAAAGTTTTAAAAATTAATAAATAAAAAACACAGATCTCGTGTGAGAAAACATGACCAGAGTCGTGCACACACTAGGACACCTTGGTTGTTAACCACTGAAATAGAGGTCAGGCCATCGAGATGCCAACCCAGAACCCTGGTGTTTAAGGGGCTGAGGTCCCCTCTGGTGGTCAAGACCTCTGTAGCCCTGTGTTGGGATGGACCAAGAACCTCCCCCATAACACCCCACCTCTGTTGCCAGTGCCTGCTGCCATTGCTTAGGATGGACGGAAATAGACTAAAATGGAGACTTTCCAAGGAAAGTGTTCATAATACATGATTTCACATGGGGAAACAAGGGTTTGAAAACAGTAAGAATAGAACAATCTCATTTGGAAAAAAAAATGTATAAGTGTTTGTTCAAATCTGTTTATACAGAGAAAATTTTAAAAGACTAGCACGAAATTCATCCAAATCCAAATAATGGTTTTTCATATGTGATAGGATTATGGATGATATTTATTTTCCTCTTTGTGTTTTCTATACCTCCCAAATGCCCACAATGAAATCAGAAAATAAAATATGTGTTTTGTAGAACAGAAATGTTTTCATTGTTTCCTTGCAGGGCCCTCACTTCTGTACTTTTGACTGCCTGCGAGGACAGAGACAATGCGGCTGAGGTTGCTGTACACCTGCATTGCTTCACCTTCCTCTCTTGGGCAGAGGAGGTGGTGGGGAAGGAGGACCAGGGAACAGGGTCAGTGACTCAGACTAGTGCCTGACAAGTGTCAAACACCTGTTGATTATTGCTCCAGGCCACCCACTGCAGCAAGAATGTTTAAACAGAGAGTGTTGCTCCTTAATGCTTCACGTTCTACTTGGTTAACCCTCTCTCCAGAGCCCAGTGCCTCCCACTGGACCCTGAGTTCTGAGCACCTCCTGGCAGCAATCCTGGTCATCTATCATTTAAAATCAGATCTGGTGTTGGACACTTTCTCAACCCTTTGTCATCTTTGTAGATGATCAGTCTCTGAAATGCCCCAAAGCCTTACCCTCCAATTAAATAAAAAGCCTAATTTCTAAACATACTTGAATCAGAAAAAAAAATTTTTTTTCTGGTAATAGACACTGGAGACATTGGAAGCATGGAATCACAGAACACTGAAGCTGCCAGAGGAACAGAAACCACGTGGCCCAACCACCCCTTTCCAAGTCCCACCAGCTCTACAGATGCTTGTAGATACTCATATGCTCATGAATCTATCTCTGGACCAAGAGACCCAGGTTCTAGCCCTGGCTCTGCCACTAGCTAGATACCTGATAGTCATTTTCCCCTGTTGGTTTCAGTCTTGTTTATATAAGAACAAGGGGTTTGGAGATCATCTCCACAGTTCTTTCCAACTCTGATGTTCTATGAAATCAGACCAAAGGTCTGGTCTGGCTGTACATAACAATGAAAAGAGGGTATAATGGACAATGGACAATGGAAGAGGTTAGGGTCTTGCAGAAGTAAGAAGCCAACTATAGTCAGACTCAGGTGAGATCATGCCTTTCTTTACTGCCTTTTTCCCCTCTATTTCTTCTTCCTCCCCCTTTTCTCCTCCTTTTTAATAATGATTTTTAATATTTTCCTTATAAGGTTCCTCTGTCTGCCCAAGACTAAGAGGCTGGACCCATAACCAGGAATCAATCAAGTACCTGGGCTCTGGTTGGCCATGTCCTAACAGCTGACCTCTAAAGTAAATGCCTGGAGTGTCAGCAAGATAGCAAATCAGAAGGATTATGAGGAAGAAAACCCAGAAACAGCATAGATACAGGCTAGGAGTGAAATCAAGTAAGGTACAGCATCTGCTAGCTGGCCGGGAATGAGATGTCCAAAAAGAAAGGAGAGGGAGCCCCCTTGATGGCTGGAGTCAGGAAAAACAAAGGCTGCTGGATGGAGCAAGGCCTGGCTTGAGGCCAGGGGAACGGGCATGAGGTCTGGAGAGCCAGGAAAAGGGTGGGACACAGAGGCCCCACCAGACACGGGCTCCCAGACATATCCAAACAAGAGGCCCACCCAGGCCCGCGGTGGGACATTGGCCTCGCTTTGTTTGCGGCCATGCTGCCCCACAGCTGTTATTGGAGAACACCAGGTCCTGGGGGAAGTGGGTAACCCTAACATGGAAATCTGTTTGCTTATCTGAGAAGTTATTTATATGGAACCAGAGAGGATGTGAAATAGCTTATGGAACTTTTAAGAGGTGGGAGGAAAGATAAGAGCCACATGTAGTTGGAGGTGAGGCAGAAACTAATGTTTGCATATTTAAAAACTAAACCCAAGCCAAAACTGGTTTGGCTCATTGGATAGAGCATTGGCCTGCGGACTGAAAGATCCCAGGTTCGATTTCGGTCAAGGGCATGTACCTTAGTTGCGGGCACATTCCCAGTAGGGGGTGTGCAAGAGGCAGCTGATCGATGTCTCTCTCACATCAATGTTTCTAACTCTCTATCCCTCTCTCTTCCTCTCTGTGAAAAATCAATAAAATATATTTTTTAAACACACACACACACACACACACACACACACACACACACACACACACAAAAAACCAAAAAAACAAAAACCTAAACCCAAGGAACACAGCTTCAGGAGAATATATGCTTTGTTTTGGTCATTTTCAAGTTGATTTGCATGTTAGATAGGGGCGGGGCTCAGTTGGAAGAACAGCAATGGGCAGCATCTGAGGGGTAAACTCCCAGCAAATCAAATTAGTCAAGAGAGCAAGCCTCTTAAGGGGTGGACACACTCAGTTGCACAAATGTAAGACTGTGAGGCTTTAGAGAAAGGATCTCTAAACAGGTTCATGGACCTCCTTTAACCTGTCCGGTGCTACAAGAGATTTTTTTAAATGCATATTATTTCTTTTCATGAAAAATAACTTCTAAATTAGGAAAAAGTGCTAAACAGCCAGACATGAATACAGGTTGCCTCCTCTCCTGTGATTGGGTGGAACTTCCTGAAAACCAGGGCTGCAGAGGGTGGGGCTGATGACACTGACACTTAAGACCACTCGGGGATCTAGAGGATAAAGAGACATATTCAGCATGAAACTCAGGACTGAACCCCCATTTTAATGAGGGAAAACAACTGCAACACAAAGGTTCAGAGGCTCAGCTTGGAAGCACCACCTTCAGCTTCCTTCTCCGTCTCCCCTGCATGGCCTTCACTGTAGCCAAGCTTAAAGGATTCCGCGTGAGGAGCTGAGGACATTCTGTGTTTCTACAAAGGCACGGGGCCACTCTGGTTAGGCCTGCCTGCCCTCCAACAGACAGCACCCCCCCTACCAGGGAGAGAGGAATACCTGCAGGTCGATGGAGTCTGATGCTAGCGCAGAGTTCGTGGTATTAAAGCTGTCCAGGGCTGACGACTGTGTTTCGATGTGATTCTCCAGGTAATCCTTCTGAGCCTGTGAAACCTGGACAGAGAGAAGAGACAGTTTCACAAAACCAACCCAGACACCCCCAGGAACCTTTGCTCAGGCTGGAACTGTCTCCTGACAGCAGCCATATCCACCTCAACCACTTCACGAACAGCCTCAAATTAAAAAGTCACATCTGCAGGACCCAGAGACCAGAAAGACAGGGAGGAGACTTCTCCTTTGGATAGTTTGTACACATTCCCCTACTGGGCCTCAGCCCTCACAACAAGACTATGTAGCAACCACACATGGGCCTTTATGGGGAGGAAACAGAATCAGAGAAGGTAAGGAATTTGCACCCAAAGGCTGGAATCAAACCCAGTTGGAATATTTTCTTGGACTCTATTGTTCTTTCTACCCACCCTAGAAAGAATATACTTTGGGCTCATCCCATTCTCAAGAGTTGTTTCGTGGCTGCTGCTGTTGTTGGGTTGTATTGGTTGGGAGTGTGCATTTGATACTTTGAGAGAGTTCATCAGAGGCCCATCTTGAGCTAAAACTTACAGGAGGGCTGGCTAGAGAGGAGCTGGGAGGCAGCAGAGCTAGGTGAAGGGATCAGGGTAGGCCCAAGGGTGAAACTTGTGAGAGCCACAAAAAGCAGCCAGCATGACACAGAAGGAGGTGCACCCTGAGGATGGAACAGAGAGCTGGAACAGCCCGCCAGGACCCTAATGGGTGGTGTGCTATTGTTTGGGGTGTGTTCACATAGCAGTTTAGCAATCAGTCTGGCTGCAGTGTGTGGTGTGGCCTGGAGGAGGAGGAGGCTATAGGCAGAGAGACAAGCTCCTGTGACAGTTCTGGCATGGGACAACAAGGGTGAGCAGAGACCTGTTATTCATCTTTGCAAGTCCAACCCTTTAGCATTAATTAAAGTTGTTAGTGTCTGTCATTGGATAGCTGAGTGAATTTCCATTAGTAGGAGAGGATTTTACAAATCACTTCCTACGTGCCAGGGAAAATGGCTGGGTGGATGTGTTTATAAATCCCTGCCCCTGTAATGAAGGCAGTAGGTCTTACTTAAGCAGATACTCTCACAGCCAATCCATAAACTCAGATGCATGGCTGTTGTAACTGTGCTCCAGCCCTGCAATGACTAACTCTTATGGAGAGTATGTAATAGACACATGAACTTTTTTCTTCAAGATTATTAATAACAAATATATATTTTTAAATTTTTCTCACAAGCATTAGCATGGTTAAATCAGAGGAAGGCTGTCTTTTCTTAAATTTTGATGCAGTTAACAGTCACATAGTTCAAACTTTTAAAAAGTGTAAAAGGTATGCACTAAAATAATCTCCCAGTCTCATTTGCTTAGGTACTGCCTTTCCTAATTTGTCCCTCAATTAAGAATCATGGTTAATTACTTCCTTATGTTTTTAGCAACTTTTTTTGCACACCCACAACAATCTAGATACATTTATCTACCCTTCCTGTTTTACATAAGTGTTAGGATTACATTACATTACATTGCATTACATTACATTACATTACATTATCTTGAATCTTGCTTTTTCATCATCTACTCTATAATCTTTGTAATCATTCCATCTCCTTTTGAAGAACTTAGTCATTCTTTTCATTCTCTCTTTTTTTTAAAAAATATATTTTATTGAGTTTTTACAGAGAGGAAAGGAGAGGAATAGAGAGTTAGAAACATGGATCAGCTGCCTCTGCACACCTCCTACTGGAGATGTGCCCGCAACCAAGGTACATGCCCTTGACCGGAACTGAACCTGGGACCCTTCAGTCCACAGGCCGACTCTCTATTCACTGAGCCAAACCAGTTAGAGCTGTCTCTCTCTCTCTTTTTTTTACAACTCTATTCTATTGTAGAGATATAATTTCCCTGGAATTTATTCATATATAATTCTGTCCCACTAGCACATAAGTTGTCACCACAGCATACACTGGTCCATTTTCTTCCCTCTTTATAAGATGCTACATTTGTCACACATTGGGGTACATTTCTAGATTCTTTCATTGATACCTATTTATTTCTGTGCCAATACTATACTGTTTTAATTTCTGGGGCTTTTTCAGTATCTTGTAATGATAGTAGGGTTCATCTCCCTCACTGGTATTTTCTTCCCCAGAACTGCCCCAACTCTTCATATTTGTTCCTTAAAAGCACCTGGTCCAGTCATAGAAAAACAACATAAAATAAAAGTCTATTGGTATTTTGGGTTATATTAAATTTGTATATAAGCTCAATAGTACTGACATTTTATAATGTTGAATCTTCCATTCTAAGCACATGGTATGTCTTTTCACTTGTAACCATCTACTCCTAGATATTTGGTAGCTTCTTTTTGTTGTTGCTGTTATTTCTTTTAACTGGTTGGTTTTTATACAGTGAAACCTCTTTCTTTGTATCTAGTAGTTTTTTTTTTTTTCATTGAATCACTTGGGCTTTCTAAGTATATAATCATATAGTTTATAAATAGTGATAGTTGTATACCTACCTATCTAGTTTTTATACCTCTAGATTTATTTATCTTGTTTAATTCCACTGGCTAGAACCTCAGACACAATGAGAATTAATATGGTGAAAGCTGGCTTCCTTGTCTACTTCCTGAACTTGGAGGGAATACTCTGATATAAGGAAGAGTATTCTTGCTCCAGAAAAAAAAAAAATCCCTAAAACGATAAACTTAATTCTGTAATAAAATTCTCTCAGTTCATTTAAAACATGATCACACTCATAAAGAACATCATAAACTCAAATGTCTTCTGATACTAGCCACTGAAAGGGCACTCTAGCCTCTGTCACCCTCCACAGTCCCACGTCACCCAGACATTGACTTACTGACAGCTCCTGGGTGATCTGCCGAATCTTCTGTCTCATTTCATCATAGTCTCCGTACATCCGCTTCCTTACTTTTTCCAAGGTGGCTCTCACCTGCAGCCCACAGAGGTGCTGGTTAGAGAGCAAGCTATAACATTTTCATGTGAGATTTCCCAATCTTTTAAGAAATCCTAATAAGAAAAGGCACCCCCCACCCCACTACAACAATCTTAAGAACAGGATAATTTGGGAAATTAAGGCATAAGATCACTCCTGATATCTGGTTAGAAACCAATAGAATTATATTAATAATAATAACATATTATGATTATATAATTATAATCATTAACAAGTATTAATTATACAAATAATGAAATGGAGAGAAAATGCTTTGTTGAAATTCACCCATCACCTTCAAACTACAACAGGCAGTCTGCCTCTTTTCCTATCGCACATTTTTTTTACAAGTAGAAAAAATTTAAAACTTGTCAGCGAACACACAGATGAGAGGACCAATAAGCAAAAGCAACCTCTAATTTTCCCTAGCTCTGCTCTGACTTCCAATTAAATGCCTGGAATGTAATGTGGGGGAGCATGAGCCCTGAAGAACCCATAAATTTGGAAGTCAGTTTCCCCAATAGTCTGGTGTCCCCAGGATCTGCAGAGAGAACAGGGAATCTCTGGAAGGGCTCCAAGGTTAGAGTAACCACAGGCATGCAGGGGACAGTATAGGGGACTCAATCTTGAAGTTGCTTTTATAGAATTAGCTCGTTTTAAAATCAGACATGTTTATTAAGGATGACTGGATATTGGTGGAGATCTGGGAGGGCAGTTAAGATGCCAAGTGTTCCCCAGATGAATTCTAATTATAGTATATTTTCAACAAGATAGAAACAGACTCATAGATACAGAGAACGACTGACAGTTGTCAGAGGGGAGAAGATTTGGGGAACTACGTGGAAAAAATGCAGTATACCATGGTAGTTATAGAATAGTCACGGAGATGCATATTACAGCACGGGGAATACTGCCAATAAGATCTACATTATATATGGGGCTAGGTGGGTACTGGAAGCAGCAGGAGGACCACTCTGTGAAATACACCATTTTATAACCACTTTACTATACATCTGAAACTAATTCAGAATAATAATGAATATAAACTATAATTGAAAAATAAAAATTAGTAATAGCCTACTTTTCTGCCATTAACTACAAACAATTTGGGAAAATGGGGCCAAACTCATTACTTTTCACCGAGGGCAGGCAGAATGTCTGAGTAGTTCTTGTGCTGCTCACCAGTGGGGAGTGGGTGCGATCCTCAGCTGTGGCAAACACTCAGGAAGCCAGGGACCAGAATCACAGCGAGAGAGGACAAACAATCCCATAGACACGCGTAGGAATGAGCAGCCCAGTGATGGATTTGAAGGCACGATCAAAAGGGGACCTGGAGACTACTTTTAGGTTGCAGAGCACAATGGAGGTGGGCACTTCGGGGTAGAGCCACCCCTGTGAGCTTGGCTCATGTCATCCTGGTGCACAGCCAGCCTGAACCTGCTGTCTTTGTCTTGAGTGATTTGCAACTCTCCACCCTAAGAGAAGGTTCACCTCTGAAGCCCTGTCATGTTATCTGGGGCGTTTCAATAAAGGACTGAGCATTTCCATGAGAAAAATACAGAAGGCTGGAGATGTCCAAGCTGCTCCTCTGCAGGTCTGACTTCAGGGGTCCCTTCCCAGCCCCTTGATCTACGCATGAGCAAACTGAAGCCTAGGCAGGGCTAAAGTTTGGCTGGGCCAAACAGAAAGCTGGACCTTGAACCAAGGCCCATGAGGTACTCCATGGCCCCACAATGCCTTGTTGCTCATGAGCACCTCTAGCCAACGGATCAATGTTTAGGGACCATAAATGTCACAGAAGCTCATTTTCTCTCTATGTAATCACCCTGGCTTGGTCAACAAGGTATTGGTCTATCTACAGAGACCAAAAGAGCCAAAGAGACATGGAGGTATATAACAGATAGATACAAAAATTTTAAAAGGAAATGCTTCAAAATGCTAACTACTGCTCTGGTTGAATGGTGGAACTATGGGTGATTTTGTTTTCTTCTTATTACATTTTTGTATTTTTCAAATTTTCTTTAAAAAATACACATGAATTAAAAAGATTGAAAATGTAATATTAAATACAAAGAAATGGCATTGGTTGGTCTGGATTTAACAATGTCTAAGGGGTTGACTTTTCAGCATCTGTTTCATAACCAGCCCTTGTCATGCCATTTCCCACACCAGTGATGGATTTGGGAATGGGCACATGACCGAGTCCTGGTCCATGAGACATAGGAGAAGCTTAATGGAGGGCCTTTAAAGAGTGATCAGAGATGAGAGACTCCTTTTCTTCCTTGGACACTGTCATGTTTTCAGATACTATGAGCCTGAGACTAAAGGAGAAAAGAACCAAGGGAAACTCAGAGAAGTAGACCAGAGCCTGGAAAATGCCATGCCTAGAACCACCTACCCCTAGACCAATCCCCACATGAGACAAGTTGCCCTTCTGAGTTGGCTTTTCTGTTATCTGCATCCAAAATCATCCAAATGCATACAGTTATCCAAACTCATGCATTAGGAATGCCCAACATGATAAGCAAAACCAATTAAGAGCCCCCATTCCATACACAAAGAAAGTAAGTCACTGTTCTCCTGAGCAGAGCTACTAAGTAACACCCAGAAGCTCACAATAGACCTCACTGAAGAACTATATCTGTACTCTTAACAGGACCATAAAGATATGTAGAAACATTCCCATCCAAAGTGCTAACGCTAGGAATTCTTCCAAAATGTGTGTTACATTCACATCAATACTCCAACTCCGCCTTCTTGCATGCTACAGAAAGAATATAAACAAGAAACAAAACAAAAAAATCCTTAAGTGACTCACATCTTTGATGTAATTCATCTCTTCTTTCAGCTGATTGGTGGACCACCCATACACCACCATTTCTTTCTGCTGATTTTGATCGGATCTTCGCACCACGCCATAGACAACGCCCTGAGGAAGTTTCCTGGTTGGTTCCCCATTGCTTGGGTCAGGATGCTGGAAAGGGGTAGGAAAAGAGAAAGGAATCATAACTCTTTAGGCCTTGTGAAGAAAGCTGTAAAAACAGGCCCATGGTATATGGTTATGCATGCTGTGCCCAGCACTGGGTTGCCTGGCCGTGGACAGAGAGATCAGCATAAACCCAGTCTCTGCTCACCAAGTTGCACTGGGCCTGGACAGAACCTGCCTTTACCCGTGAGGAAGAGTACCCTTTTCTAATTTCTCCAAGGCCTTGTCCATCCACCTAGAAGTGCATCTGCAGGGTTCCATCTTCCCAGAGGAGCCTTTTGATAATTCACACAAAAGGGCTTGACTTGTGTTGTCCCCGATAACAAGAGCAAGTGTCTGAACTCTGACATTCTTGGTAATGCTGTTTTTCCCCTTATACCAGTTGCTCTGTGTGCCTTCAACCTCCTCACTAAATATGTGGCCTGAAGTGCATGGGGTTGAGATACCTTGGGGGAAATGTTGGCCACCCTCTGGCAGCCAAATTGTCCTCTGAAGTTAGGTCTGATCCTGGGACCAGCTCTGAGAAAAGGATGTGGGGTGAGTACACAACCTGTTGTGACTATTCATGAAATATTTCTGAAAAACCAGGCAGAGGGACATAACCTCACTGAGCAAGAAAACAATCAAGGCTAGAGACTGAGATTTCATAGACAACCTGGTGGAGCCCCAGTTTTCCCGGGGTGTGGGGGGGAGGATGATCCTGGTACTTCAACAATGACAGGGCAGGAGCCTGGATTCCATCACGGCCACTCTGCTTTCCCACTCATTTCCAGGTCACCTTTGCATAAATTCTTCCCAGGTAAATGTGTTTGACATATCAAACTGTCATTTGCATTTTTAAAACCATTCATTTGTGGAAGAATAAGAAGTACTTTAAAATCCCATTCAAAATTTAGAAAGGTCTAGAAAGATACATGACAAATGTTAATAGTGATGACTCCGAAGGAAGGAAAGCTGGTGGTGCAGGGGAGCTAGAAATCAGGATAACTCAATTATTTTACTGTCTACCCTTTCATATTGTTTGCTCATACTGGTGATGTGAGCTTTTTAAAAAAGTAAGACAACAAAACATTCATTGCTTCCTACCCTTCTGCACATACTTGGAGAGAGATGGGATATGAAGAACTCTGACCCTCTCCCTTTGATTCTGGAAAATACTTCCACTTGAGTCCCTCACCCTTGTCCCACAGGCATTGATGAACTCTTGAAATTGTCCATCAAGTTGAGGTGAGTGGACTGTGAAACGGGTCTTGGTGGAGTGACAGGCTGGGGTTAGATATCCCTGTTTTACTGGGCATGGAATTAGGAAGAGGAAACGCTCTAATGAAACTCCCCCTGGACCAGGAAACAAAAGCATGCTCTTTCAGCCACTGACTCCACCCGGTTCCTGCAAAACAAGCTGGTGACAACATAAGGCTTTGGTGAGATGCATTTCTGCAAAGCACACCCTCCACGGGTGGGTTAGCATCCAGGAAAACACTCAGGTGAGCTGGGCACAGAGGACTCTGCCTTCCTGCCCACGAGTGGAAATAAGGGCCACCACTACGGAGGAACATACCAAGGACTACAGGGTCTGCAAAGCACTGCTCGAGGGGTCATGGATCTAAAAGTTATGCACACCGAAACCGGTTTGGCTCAGTGGATGGAGTGTCGGTCTGAGGACTGAAAGGTACCAGGTTTGATTCCGGTCAAGGGCATGTACATTGGTTGCGGGCACATCCCTGGTGGGGGTGTTCAGGAGGCAGTTGGTCGATGTTTCTCTCTCATCGACATTTCTAGCTCTCTATCCTTCTCGCTCTTTGTAAAAAATCAATAAAATATATATTTTTAAAAAGTTACGCACATGGAAAGATATGAAGATCTTTTAAGTAAAAAAATACTAATTTTCATATCCCATTTTTTGTTTTAAACAATGTGTGCTTGTGTGTATAAAACATCTAGAAAGATGTAATCCAAACCTTTAAAGCCAGTTTCCTCAGTAATATGGGATATCATTTTTTTTTTCATTTATACTCCTTTATACTCTTTGATTTGCGGGGCTAGAAAAGGCATTATGTTTGAATTAATAATTTTTATTTCAATTTTCATAGGACAAAAATTATTACAAAATCAGGGTGAAAATAAAAGGCCCACAGGGAAGGGCCCAGCCCAGGACTCTGTTCAGGAGCAGGATCACCTACAGGGGCCACACCACAAGGAGAGGGCTCCTGAGGCCGTGTGAGGAGCTGCTGGGCTGTGAAGGGAGAGGGAAGGAACATTTATGAAGAAGGAGAAGGGGAAAACATTTGTTGTCTAGTCATTTTATTAAACAATATTTTTTAATCCTCACAATAACCCTCCTATGTGAATATTAGTGCTTCCAAGGTGGCAGCATTCAAGTGCCTGTCCATGTCTCATCAAACGTAAGCTCTTTCTTTGACTATAATGCTTTCAATGTATCTAAGAGTCAGAAGAGAAACTGGAACTCACATCTCCATGTGGCAGCCCAGACCTCAGGGTCCTGGGCCTTTGGGAAGAGGCGGGCCCAGGATAAGGAGGCTCTCCTCCAGCCTCCTATGGTCCATCTCCTCCTCAGCCTCCGCCCCATTCCAGCCTCACTGCCTCCTTTCTGTCCTTTCATCAACCATCTTCCTTCTTGCCTCAGGGTATTTCCAGGGGCTATTCACTCTGTCTGCAGGGCCCTGAAAAGCCCTACCTCAAGGACATCTTTATTGGTCCTTCCACCTGCTTGGGTCTCTGAGCTAACCATAACCATAATGAAGTGACTATTAGGATTGTTATATATGGAAGACCGGCTCCCCTATCAATGGGAAGCTCCAATAATTTTAGGGCCCTGTGTGTCTTCTTTTCCACCATAATTTCTGGCATCTAACATGCAATGAGTTTCTCAATAAAAATTTGCTGAATGAAGAGGAAGCTTTAGAAGCTGGCAGAGGTTCTGGGAATTACCCAGAGTGTGTACACAGGTCCAGCTGAAAGAGACATCCTTGGGTCCTCTTAGATGGTGAAACAGGGATCTGATGGTTTTGCCCCAATCATAAATTTGATATCCAGTAAAGCTGCAAAGGAGCCTAGAGAGCTATCATTTTAATCAAAACAGGAGAATATAGGAGGGGAGGGGGAAAGTGACTTTTGGCACTATGTGGCTAAATGTTCCTCCACTTCTATCCTTTAAAATATCTTCCTATAAGATAAATATTAACTTTTTTGGCATAAGAATGACATTGTGATTATATGAGGAGATAGCCTTTATCTTTCAGAGACATACACATAATTAAATATTTATGACATCAGAATACAGGGTGGAGGAAGTAGATGGGGTGTAGATAGGACAGGACTTGAAGGCTGAGGGTTGCCGGGGCTGGGTGAAGGGTCAATGATTCATTACACACTTTAGTCTCTTCTTGTTTGTGTTTGGAATTCTCCATAGTTAAGTTTTTAAAAACTCCTTTATAATGATGCTTAGTATTTAAAAAAAAACAAACAATTTTTAAAACATGTACACTAGGCCTATTAACAGCCTCCAGGGCCTGAAACAATACTAGGTAAAAGCTCTGAAAGCAAAAGCCCTAATACATGTATGGAATGAAAATAAAGTTATCGCCAAAAAGGGAAAAGGAAACAACCAACACAAAGGCCATCTCAGAATCCCTAGGTGAAATGCAGCAGAATTAACAACAGCCATAATCATTAAAACATAGACTGTTTCCCGGATATACTCAGAACTTAAAATTTACTTACAGGCTCGTAACTAAAAATTTATTTAGCAACCAGTGCCTTAGAAAGAAGGAGAAACCATAAAAAAGTAACTCAGCCTAATTCCCTACTATGTGGGCTTCAGTGAGGCCAGTGACAGGTAACTATATTTTCCAAACTCTAAATCAAAATATGTGATCTTACAAGGAGATAAGCTCTCTTGAGGCAGAGACAGTATTGACTATCTTCGCTGCCCTATCCCTGATACTCAGCATGAATAGATGCTCACTAAATACATTTTGAAGGAAGGAAGTGTAGACTATTTAGAATCAGGTCTATGCCCAAATACTTGGAGTGTTTGGTCATCTCAGACACTGATTTGTGCAAAGGAAGAAAGTCCTTGGACAAGAAGGGTTGGGGGGGGGGTGGCAGATAGAGAACAGCAGAAACACAATTTGACATAAATCTAAACTGATGATGGCAGCCAGCCACAGCCAGCTCCTGACCCCAAGGGCCCAGAAGGCCAGCTGGTCCCACCTTCAGGCTGCCAATACAGCAAAGATGGACCACAACATGAACTGAATGACTCTTGTCTTCCAGCCAGAGGGCAGCAGCTGACCCAGAGGCTGCTGGGCATGCTCTCCACCCTCAGGCAGCACTGCACTTTCAGGAATGTGGTCTGACCTGTCTGACCTGTGCATCCCTCTTGGCAAATTATTGGCCCCTGGTCATTATTACACTTGACATTGTTTTGTCTTTTGGGACAGCAAAGGAACATGACAGCTGAGCCACAGCTGAGAAATAGGGAGGGGAGGGGCAGTCCAGGCTCCTCAGAGAAATGGAAACCTTTGGCTATTGAGATATTTATTTCTGAGTATCTCACAGACTGAATAGAGACCCCTTCCTAAATAAAATCATGCTTGGGGAAAGAAAAAACAAACAAACCACTTTGAATACTTACCTCTGAGAAGAAAAAAAAAACTTCTAGTTACCCAGAAATGCCAAAGAGTGTAGTTCTAATGATAGTATCCTGATAGGAGGTAACTTCTTAAAGATACTGCTTTACAGTTCTGAGCAGACAACAGATGCTTAGGCCTCACAACCCAGGGAGGTAGGGAGGGAGAAAGAAGGACATGGGGGAGAGTGATCAGAAATTTCTTTTCTGGATCCCAATGGTGCAGTGGACACCTTAGGTAACCTTGACTGATTAAATATTCTAAACAGACTTTTCCTCATAGGAGAAAGTGTACAAATCAGCGTTCCCATGACAACAGGGCCACGTCATAGATGCC